GACTGGAATGTATGTAAAATTATAGTAAAAAATATGAATTTATTGTTTTTCTTTCTTCTACTTCTTTTTTATTACATGATAACTCAAAAACCAAAACAATGGTGTCAACCAATTTCACTGAGGTGACGTAGTTTCAAACGGAATATCCGTTTTTATAAGTATTATTAATATCTAGTAGTAATGATTAAAAAATATCGCAATTCTAGTGTAAACCATGCTATCGTTAACCCTTGAAGTTAGCTTTCTTACAAAAAATTTTGTGTTCCTTTAAAAAGCATAAGTACAGGGTGAAACAGAAATTATCAGCCAGTAATATATAAACAATAAATATTACAGTTGGAACCTCATTGTATTTATAAGCAAACATGGAGTGTAAAGGTAGCTTTTTTTGTTTTTTTGTAGCTTTCGTTCATCTTCGGTTTGAGTCCATTATTTGCAGTTCTTGTTCAATGTTCGCCCTAACGAAGATTTTAAATTGTCCTCCATTTATAGGTTCGTTACATTCATTCAGCGTCTGTTGAATATGACGTTTATCTTAAATTAGCATGTTCCAGTATGTGAGCTGCTAGCCACCTAGTGATGGAACCAATATAACCTAAAAAACATTTAGGACTTTTGTATTTATATTCTACATATAACTATTATAAAACTTGATAAAAACAATAGGTTATCTCACATAAAGCTGATTATGTTAATTACCTTAAAAATTTTAAATGCCAGTGCTAAATATGCGAAACAAGGTGAAAATCCAACTAAAGCGAGAGAGAGTAAGTTACAAAGATACTCACTAAAAATTTTAAAAAATGATAATTTATTGAGAGGTAATGAATATAATAAAATAAAAGCAATTGGTTTTCATTCAGGTATTAGAAATGTGTCCTGGTAGAGTGATAGTGTCTGGTATTGGTACATACGATCATAAACTAGATGGGATTCTGGTTAAGTTGTTAGAACCTCTAATTAGAAATAAATAACTAGATGGGATTCTGGTTAAGTTGTTAGAACATCTAATTAGAAATAAATAACTAGATGGGATTCTGGTTAAGTTGTTAGAACCTCTAATTAGAAATAAATAACTAGATGGGATTCTGGTTAAGTTGTTAGAACCTCTAATTAGAAATAAATATACTATAAAAAGTGTTAACTTTTCTCCAGAAATAAAAAAAAACGTATTTTAAGAATGGTATTTATTATACAAGTTTTGATATTCGAACAGCAAGGTAACGTTTTCTTGTTTACTATTACATTTTTCATCTCATTTGTTACTCATTATATGAGAACACATGGCTTTGACAGACAACGTCTAAAACTTTCTTAGGATAAACAGCAAAAATACAATAAAATTGACGTATTTCAGAACATAATTTCCAATAAAATAAGCATAATCTTGGAACCACTATTCTTGTTCAGTCTATTTCTTTCTTCAACTTGTTTTAAAAATATATTGTGACTTATAAATACGTATCTGAATAGCTTTTAAACATGAAAGGAAATGAACATGTTTATAGGTGATCATAGTATTATTTGTTACTTAATTTCTACACACTCGGAGTAATAGATAATAATGTAATATACATGTATGTATATATATGAACTGAAGAAGTAAGAACACTGGATATTTGGATATTGTATGGGGGCAATTTGTAGTTAAAATCAAAATTCTTGCTGGTTTTCTATAATTTCGATGTTGCTCTATAATTAGTAATATTTCAATAGATGTTTATATAAAATACATTACATGGATTTTTTTCAGGCAAGCAGTTATTGCCAAAAATGTGTTGTTATTTTTTGTTATTGTTGTTATAACAGGATTTTACAGAACACTATATATATTGCTGTCTTTTATTAAGTTCTGAGCTTTTATCTTAAATACTAACAGGTTGACTTTGGATTCTCAAAGTATCTGAAAAATGGACGGAAGACATGGACCTTCTGCGGAACTCCAGAATATGTAGCACCTGAGATAATATTAAACAAAGGTCATGACAGAGCTGTGGATTATTGGTCTCTTGGAATTCTCTTGTTCGAGCTTCTTACGTGCAAGTATGAGCTGGATTTCTAATGATCCTTTCAATATCCGTAACATAATTTATACATATTGCTCATCTTTAGTCCAATAAATGATACTTTAGTACGAATTTCATCGTTGCTGAATTTCAGTATGTACTTATGATATAGCTGTGACTAACAAAATAACAATATGTGCTTATGATATAGCTGTGACTAACAAAATAACAATATGTGCTTATGATATAGCTGTGACTAACAAAATAATACTTTTAAGTCTCACGTAGTTTTTAATAGAACAAAATGATACCAAATTTGGTTATACGAATTGGAAATAATATTCTGGTTAACCATCACAGCAAGAGCGAGCACTTTGACAACGTGATTTTTTGTTGTTGTTTTTTGCAGTGCGATGTTCCTATAATTTGGATGATCAAAAACTATTGTATTGTTTAAATCTCAGTGAATTAACACTTCACAAGCATATGATATTTCAATTGGTTTTAAAAACTCATAGAACAGTTCATAAGAATTTAAAAATACAACACATTTTAGGTAAATGAAACTTTCTTTTTTTCCATCACAACAGACCACCCTTCTATTCTCCTGATCCAATGAATACCTATAACATTATTCTAAGAGGTTTACATGTGATCGAGTTTCCGCCAGTTATTGGAAAACATGCTGAGTCACTCATCAAAAGCCTTTGTAAAGAAAATCCAACAGAACGCCTTGGTTACCAGAAAGGTGGCTTTGGAAATATAAAGAAACACAAGTATGCTGTTTTAATTTTTTGCCTGTTCTTTTTTATGGTTTTTACTTCAAGAGAGTTATAAAAGTTGTTTAAAAAGCTGAGTGTAGTATTCCAACTGTTACCATTTTATTATATTAAGTAGTTTTCACACCTACAGTATTTATATATAAAAAATGAAGAATAACAAAGCTAGACTAGGGTTATTTTCACATAGATGTCCCTAATTTTGAACTGATAGACTAGCGGGAAGGCAGCTGGTCAACCGCACCAACAACGCGTCTTGGGCTATTAATACCATATCGAATAGTGGGACTTCACAGACACACTTACAACGCACCCATGGCCACAAAGTGAGGAGTGCTTTTTGCGGCAACGAGAAGCGAACCATGACATCTAGGATTCATTCACGCTAACCATTAGGCTACGCTCGATCCTTACATAAATTAGTATTGTTGAATAAAAGTAATGTGTTATGAGTTTGATTGGTTTAAACAAAAGCTGTATAAAGGTTATCATTAGCTCTTTCGACTGTTAACTTGTCTTAGTTTTCTCAGTCTCTAAACTTCAGTCTTGATTACCGTTTATATATTTTCCCCAGAAATTAAGATTTGTATATAATATACACTCCACTACCATATGAAGCGTAGTCTTGATCCTTCGATTTGTCCTTTTCCAGGGTTAATGACGGTGGGTGGAATTGACAAAACCTGTATAATTCAGTGACAAGTTGTGAATGGAATTATAGATTTGGCTTCATATTAATGTTTAGTATGTTTCGTGTACCTTGCCCATTTATAATACAAAGTTTTTAATTGTATAATTTGCTTTTACCTTTATAAATTAATGTTTAGTATGTTTCGTGTACCTTGCCCATTTATAGTACAGAGTTTTTAATTGTATAATTTGCTTTTACCTTTATAAATTAATGTTTAGTATGTTTCGTGTACCTTGCCCATTTATAGTGCAGAGTTTTTTAATTGTATAATTTACTTTTACCTTTATAAATTATTGTGCATTTTTAAACGTTGAAGTTCTTACTTATTTTACGAAAGCTGTGCACAAAACGGTCAGAGAATATATTGAGACATAATACCGTTCCATTCGTGATATTTTTGGAGTTTGAAATTAATGCCTTAAACCATTGCTTAAACCTAACTCATTTCTGAATTATTTCTATCCAATTGCAAGATATACACTTGAGCATTCGGTTGAAACTAAAGAGCTACTCTTTCTGTGCAGCAAGATGTGCATTAAGGATGTCAGTAACGCCCAATCTGTGGAAAACCATCATAAATCCATCTACTTACATTACAAGTGTTGTAATCCGTTCGTAATGATTATTAGTAAATAATTTCGCATTTCTCGCATTTGCTCCATTAATTAGTTTCCAATTGATGTCATGAGTAAACACCAGATTACATTCTTACAAGGCGAAAATAAAATGAACTCTATTAATGAAAATTCAGAATTACACCATACATTAGCAACGTTATCAGGAACAAAGTTAGGCAAGCCGTTTCTCGTACTGGTTTCCTTATCACTATAGCACAGAAACCTGTGTTAGTTAAATCCGCATTTAAGTTCACACCTTGTAATATTAAGGATTGCTTTATTTGTGGCACAGGATTACTTGAAAAATATCAAATGTGCAAGATATTATTTACATTTTCTGAAAACTATTTATTTATATGAACAATTTATTTGTTTAAGAATTTCGTGCAAAGTTACACAAGGGCATTTTGCACACAGCCGTCAATAATTTCGAGCTGATAGACTAGAGGTAATGCAGCTAATTAACATCACCCACTATAAATATTGGGGCTATTCTTATCTGATCGAATAATAGGAGTGCGGAGCGCCATTTTACGACAAATGGACGCGAATTAAGAAAAAAACGTATTCACAATCCGGACACGGTAATCAGATAGCTTGGCCAGACCCAAAAGAGATACATTAGGATCCTATATTTACGCATGAGTAAACACGTTGCACATATAAGAATTAATTTGATTGACAAGAGTGATATTAGCGAATATATATTTAGTTTTTAATGCAACAGATACTGACAAGGATATCGAAGTTTTAATTACCGCTACTAAATGTATGGAAAAGAAACACCGCAAGTTATTACGACTGGCGAATTTCTCGAGGAAATGAGACGACTCTAATAATTGATTTAACTGTGTTCCACAACTGTGGCGTTCCAAAGATTATCAGAATAATAAATAGTCTTAATTAACCTGATGTGTGTATAGCACAAACTTTCTCAAACGTGGCCGTTTATTTGCTTTTTTTTTTATTATCGAGACTATATTAAGATGTAATTTCATGGCTCAACCGGCAAGGTTGATTTAGAAATCCACCACTTCTTCTTTCTATGGTTATCACTAAACTGCCTTTGGATAGTGTCACAACCTGCAGATCTTGAATTACACAAATGAACCGTCTGAAAAAAAAAGCAAAAACTTGTTCTACGTGAAAAGTATCGTATGCATCTTTGTACATCAGACAATGATTGTTTGAATTTAAATTACACACCGGAAAACATCTTCTGTTAACTTTAAGATTTAGAAAATAATTTCAGTATTTGAAATTTATAATAAAGATTACTGCACTGTTTGAAGTTGATTGAGAAGAGTATGTAATACAATTAATGTTATATCATTGGTAAGAAACGAGAAGTGTAGTAAAATAATCAAAACACCATTATTTCCGTTCAAGTAGCCCCCAGTGGCACAGCGGTATGTCTGCGGACTTACAACGCTAGAAACCGGGTTTCGATACCCTTGGTGGGCAGAGCAAAGATAGTCCTTGTGTAGCTTTGTGCATAATTAAAAACAAACAAACAAACATTTTAAGTATTTAAATGCTTCTCAAGATATCTGGTTTTCTTTTTGTTGGCTTTAATTTTCAAGTTATCTCCAATAGTTTATTTGTTTTCAGTAATAAAGCTTAAGCTTATGCATTTTTTTATCAGGTGGTTTCAGGGGTTTGACTGGGACGGCCTTCAAATGCGGCAGTTACCTCCTCCAGTTGTCCCTGAGGTAAGTGGTAAAAGGAATGATGACGAGCGCTTTAATTTAATGGTGAAATTTATTCCTGAAGCAATGTATATTTTGTAAATTATCAACTTAAACGTCGTGGCTTTGCTTTAAGAAAATACAACACACACACACACTCAACTTAGATAAAACATTTGTATATACGCATACATATTTTGCTGTATTCTTTATGAAGGGTTTCATTTTGTTCCAATATTGTTTGTCAAACAATCATGTTATTTTAAATTAGATATGTAAATTTGCCCATCTGTTTTCAATAACAAAGATAATATGGTATCCAAAAATAGCGATTTATCAATTTATAAATAATGATTTACGTCCATCTTTTCTTACGGGTAAAATGGAAGGAAACTGTTTTGAATGAAATATATTTCATTAAAATCTTATTATGTTTTATCACTGAGTTATTATTGTTGGAAACTATTAATATTTAGTTCGTAAATATGAAACGAACTGTTTTATTTTATATTTTCTTTATTACTTTTTTTCTACCGGTTTCGTACTTCACAAGTAACAGTAGTTAAATAAGGTTAATTGGAATTGTGCAACGGTAAAAACTATTACTAGGAATTACAAAAACACAATAAAGTAAGTTAAGTAAGAGGTATAATTTGTATTAAATTGCTAAAGATTATGGAAATAAGCTGATTTTCTATAACAATAGTAGAAAGTTTTATTCAATAGAAAAATGATAACGGAATGGAAAATAAAATATATTTGATAATATTTAACTAGATTATTTTTGAGTATATTTCAATTTATGTTTGTATTGAATTTTATAGTTGTATGTCTTGGATAAAACGTTTTTAATTCAGGTCATTTATGTTTAGTTTAAAAGTGGTATTTGAACATTTTTATTATATGTTATCTGTAAAATTATACCTTGAAGCGTGATCCTTGAGATCACGAAACCGGTAGAAGAGAATAATAAAGAAGTGAAAATAAAACAGAACGGTCCAAGGACTGTGGTGTTTTTGTTACTTGTATCCACAGCTGAGACTTGTATATGTTTTGGTTATTTATTATCTAAGATATAACTTGTTTTGATTTAAATAATTTATCAGACTGAAAAATACCGTTTAAGCCAAACCGAAATATCAATGAAATAAAAAAGTGTACACATTTTATATGTGACCAAACTCACTTTTTAATTTTACAACTGATTTTTAGTGATAAAAATGTCCGTATTTTTAAGTATATGTACACACTTTTTTGAAACCGATAAGAACCAAATATCAATAGAATAATAGAGATTATTTTCTTATACTTATAACAAAAATCTAACATAAGTAAATGGATTAACTGAGATACAATAGTAGTATAACAGAAACAACAGTTAAATGTTGCAATGCAACAAAAACTTAGACAATGCAATTGTTTTATCATAGATCAATGGTCTATTGGATTCCAGCAATTTCGACACTTATCCTCGGAATTTCGTAGTACCTCCTGATGAATTTTCTGGTTGGGACAGCAACTTCTAAGCGTTAAGACTTCTGATGAAGTTAAAGCTTCAAAGAATTCCTTTTGACTTGAAACATTAAATAACGTCAATACTTTTAAGTTCTGGCGGGGAAATTGAATAATTGTATTTCTTCAGTAAAGATAATTTTACGCATCAAAATGTTGCGAGCTTATTATTGGTTTTAAGTTCTTGATTTATAAGTGATGTTTTGATGGCTTCCCTAAACAGTTTAAATTACACTTCATTCCAATAAATGACATTTCATAGTTTTGAAATTTTTAGACATGTAACAATAAAAATGGTAAAGCAGATAGTTTTGTAAGCTGCAAAGGAAGGTGTTGTATAAATACTTTTGTAAAGAGGCGACAAGCACCTAAAATGTTTACAAGGAAATTATAACATTTGAATCGCGTTCAATGTGATATGTAGAAATAGAAGTAAAACTGTACAGTTCATAAAACTATCTACTACTTTCTTCCGTATTTTAACCTGTTCTAGTCTTTGGAAATTTATTGCTTCCAGTTTGATGTGACGTACCTTAGAGCAGGTATATTGTGGTTGACATATTACTACTGCATCATTCTTTACTTTCACTCATAAGTCCTTTTAATAAATGTCACATAACGTCTTTGTTTGTCTAGTCTTGAATTTCGCGCAAAGTTATTCGAAGGCTATCTGCGTTGAACGTCCCTAATTTTGAAGGCAGCTAGTCAACACCACCCACCGCCAACTCATGGATTAATCTAATTTAATAGTGAGATTTCACTGTCACTTTTATGATGCACCCACGACACCAATGTACGGAACGTGACTTTTTTTTTCTTTTTTGCGTTAATATGGTCCGAACCATTGAACCTCGGATCTACCGTTTGGCTAGCTAATTACTGGGCCACACTCAGCCCTACATAATGAGCATCTATGACTTACCTGACGTTTGAAAATATCTATCAATTCAAGTACCCACATAAATTTTTTAAAGGATTTGTTTGTTTGTAATTAAGCACAAAGCTACACAATGGGCTATCTGTGCTCTAACCACCACGGGCATCGAAACCCTGATTCTAGCGTTGTAAGTCCGCAGACATACCGCTGTGCAACTGGGAGGCTTTTTTTAAAGGGAGCTGTATTCATTAAGTTTTTTGGTGGGTCATAGGTAGGCTTACATAATTAAAATCTGAGGTTTGATAGCAGATAGCCCGTTGTGTGCCTTTGAGTTAAAACATCAATATTCAATAAACAGACTGAAAACATGTTGATCCTATTCACCACAGCTTAAGAAACCGTTTGATTATAATAATTTACTATCTTATTTTTATTTCAATCTGATGGGAAAGTACCAAACTTTACAAAATTAACCCAGTTTGTAATTGTTGCTTAACATTGGTTGTCAGTAAAACTAATAAAATTCACTTGATGTTTGAATTTTTTTGGCACTTCACAGAAAACAACAACAACAGTTTTTTTTTTCAATTAAAACGAATGATATCTTTTGGTTTTCCAGTTATGCTAGGCACACCTCTATTTAATAGGTATAAGCTAGGCGAATCCTATATCTTAACTTATGAGGTTATAAGAATATAAGCGAGCTAAGATAATTTAGTATTTGTTACCACTTTCTAAACGTATTTTTGGTGTACACAGGATAGAATTACAGTTTTCAATAACACTATCAAATCGCTTATATATTTATGCAAATTATAGTTTTTTGAAAAATTCCTGTAAACTCCATATATTTTCAGTACACATCATTTATAAAATATAAATTATTGGACTGTAGCTAGGAGAAGCAGGCAATAAAATATTTTATTTAAATTATTTATTGTTAAAGGAGGTGCACTTAAGAGCGTAAGGGCGCGAAATTATAACAAATGGGGATGGGTGCACCCCCCCCCCCAAATCGCTAGTGAGGTAGTTGGAAAGAAACCATAATTCACTAAAAGCACTCAAAGTTTACTCAAAGTTCATTATATTAATATTCTAGTCTTCAATTATATTTTTGATCCAGTGTTCTTTTATCGGTCCATTCCTCTAAATAATAACTGTTAACTTTTTCCCTACGATAAAAGTTATAGACTTGTATTTTTAATAAATGTATTGAGATCTGTGTTAGGGTTATCGACATGTCCTTGCACGTTATAATGTTATACAGAAAACTTAAGAAATATTTAATATATTACAAGTGAACAAAAGATGGCGCTTCTACAGTCAGCTTGTCCGTTTTCTTTTAGATGATTTATTTTGAAGCCTGTAATGGTCTCAGATAGAGCTGACAGTAACTGTGATAGGAGAATTATTTATTAATGTAATAACTTTCCAATGTTATTTCTTATCATAAACAATTAAATAAAGTCATAAAATTCACTTCTAAATTAAACTAGGATTTGAAATGTACTTTTTGAGAACTTTTGAGTTTTATCTTGAGAAAGAAGTAATTTGTATAAAATTACTGGCGGGAAAAAAAAAGCTGTTATTTTAATATCAGATCTTTTTTCTGATTTTATACTGGTGCGAATATATTTAAGGCAGTATCATATTCGGTGGTGATCGTTGAAGATCGTGGAAGTAATTATGTTATACATGTATTGTTGTTGGAGTACATTATTCGTTGTTTTCTATATTTACGAATATCAATGGAAATAAAAACTTTGAACACAAGAGTTTTGTTTACTTAATAACATATAATAAATGTAGAGTTCAAAACTTCTTATGTTATAAACAGATATTTGTGTTCACAGAAATGTTTACTCTTTAACTTAGTCCCAAAAATATTTAATGCATTTTGTGTGCAAATATTAAGTCTTCCAGTGGGCTAGGGTTAAGTTTGTAAAAATCGAGTTTCGATTATCTTCGGTAGGCAGAATTAAAATAGCCTATTTTGTAGCTTTGTGCCAACTAAATAAAACCCATATTCATAAATATTTTTTTTGTTAGTATATTAAAATATTATAAAAAAACCAACGTAAAAACATTTATAATTAGTATTTGACGTTTATCAACAATTGAATATGTAATAAAACTAAGAGACACTGTTTTTGTTGGCATAATTATTTATTTCCTTAAAATTTTCTGAATGTTTTAAATTTCTGATTATCAACATTAACACGTTAGGTACTCAGGCTTAATCTAATTTAATTTAATATCACAGCATAAGTGAATAGTTTCATTACTAAAAAAAATTACGATCTCTTGCAAAAATTATATTTAACTTACCTTCTGTGAAGTTTTCTTAGATAACAACAAAAAAGTTGGGTACAAAATATACTCGTGTTGGCCTTATATATATATATATATGTATATGACATCTTCTATAATATTCAGAAGGTTAAAATGTAATGATCTAAGTAAAACAAATCAGTTATCCTCTAAATAATTTCTTTAATTTGTTACCAAATTGACAGTAAAACATATTCAAATGAATAAGAATTACACTGACTACAGTTATTATACGGAATATTAAGACATTTTATTTGGTCAATATAAAAGTGGATGATAAAAATGTTATTTTTAAGTTTTCAATTTACATTCAAATTCTAAACATTATACATCGAATAATTAATACGAAACAGAGATAATTAGAGAGAAAGTTTATTATCACTTTAGATTTAATTCATATGCTTTTTTTATTTTCAGTTAAGAATATCTTCTCCTAAATTAAGAAATTCGAGTCGTTCTATCACTCGAGATAATTTTCCTTCACGTTGTTTTCTATATTTACGAACATAAATGGAAATAGAAACTTTGAACACAAGAGTTTTGTTTACTTAATAACGTATAATAAATGTAGAGTTCAAAACTTCTTACGTTATAAGCAGATGTTTGTGTACACAGAAATGTTTACTGTTTAACTTCGTCTCAAAAATATTTAATGCATTTTGTATACAAATATTATATCTCCCTGTGATTCAGGGTTAAATTTGTAGAATTACAATGTTAAAAATTTGGTTTTATAATTGGTATATTTTTACTAGTTTTGTCAAAGATATTACTTTGTTTTAGTGAAAGCTAGATCATTCAAAATTTTATCATACACGTTTGGAGATTGATTGATTTTTTAAGTTAAGCACAAAGCTACACAATAGGCTATCTGTGCTCTGCCCAACACGGGTATCGAAACCCGGTTTCTAGCGTTGTAAGTCCGCAGACATAACGCTGTACCACTGGGGGGCATGTTTGGAGAAGTTATTGGTTTACAGGCTTTTATATGATTATTCAAAGACTTTTTTTTCTTTCAAATACGCTAATAGATGTTAAATATATAGAAATATGAAACAACACACAGTTTTAAGTTGAAGTTGTTGTTTTTCTTTTCGATCATGGAGTTTTTCAAATCTTACAACAGTTATCAGAAATTCTTTCTATGTGTTTAAGCATTATGAGTTAAAAAATGTAATGTCTAAAACTTGAATTACTTCATCAACACAAATGTTAAAGTGACATAAATAAATCTTAACACCGAATAGGCGTTTTGGAAATTGAGTTTTTCCTTTAACTTATTGTTTGTTTTAGATTTGTTTTGTATAACCGTATTTGTATTTATGGCCGTTATCCTTAATTTTGAGATATTGACCAGAAGGAAGGCACTCAGTCACCATCAACATTCACGCTAAGAGATTGATTGTTACTCTTATAATCCACCCACAACTCAAAGCATGCGGAATATTTTGCGGTATCGCAGGAATTCGAACCCGGTTCGCTAACTCCAAAATACAGAGTTCTACCACATAGATAGCCCGCTCCTCACCGATATAACTACAGAAGGCACGCATTTACGGTAACTTGATGCGACCTATGAACATTTTAATCTCAATACCAGGCCAAGCCCCTTATTCTGCAGACACTATTGTTTAAACACTATCAACACTAAACGTTGTAGACTTATTCAACATTTGGAATATTGTAGGTGATTTTCAGGAGCACACAGGTCTTCATAATATAAGTAGGATAATGCACGTATTCAATAAATTGAAAAAATTAGTAGCTAAATAAGCAAATGAAATAAAAAAAATTCAGTGATGAAACTCACGTGATAAGAGAAGATCAAGAAATTGTGGTATTGATGTCATCAACTTAAAGCAAGTCTTCAGTGAGAAATACTTAAACTGTTTAAAAAAGCCAGGGAATACAGTTGGATACACTATATAACCTGAACCATAATCAGGTCAGGCCGATAAAAAAATGCTAATTCCTCAAATCACTAAGCAGTTTAACTGACTTAGAAACAAACGTGTTAGCAATTAAAAGCAATAGAAGTTTGCTCTGCGATCATAACATTGTACTTTCTTTAATATTCAAACACAGGGTAACATACTCGTGACTGGAAAATAAATATGAAGCCCAAGCTGTCATTCGATTTTTCACAACGGTTTTAGGAAATTCCACCCCTCATCAGTAACCCTGAACAAGGTAAAATCGAAAAAATAAAACTAGGCCTCATACACTATCGGATTGTGGGTAAAAAAAAAAGACATCTCAGAACACCATACAAGTTCTTTTGCCCCTATTTTATTTTCCAGTGTAAACTAAATTTACTTTAAAAGAAAGGATAGATTTCAATCTTTTTAAATCAATTTAATTCTGAGGGCTTATAACGCTAAAAATCAGAGTTTGATACCCGTGGTGGACAGAACA